GCATCATTTTGCATAGTCCTGTTTCCCTTCCTTAGCCAAGTGCCCCTTGAGATGGCCTTGTCCATCACTTGTGGACAGATACCCTCCCTTTCTGAATTTTCAAGTCAGCAGGAAGTTATGTTTATGGTAATCATGCCAGTCATGCAGGTGGACAGCTTGGGTGGCATCCAGGGAAGTCCAAGAAGGGGGGTCAAACTTCGAGATAGAGCAGGGAGGGAAATTGATTTGTGATGCAGGAGCTTTCTGATCTTAGGGACCGTGCAGGTTTAAGACCTCTCTAATATATCCACACTTCCCCTCTCCTTACCCCCCAACCATTTTTCTTCACACTCGGTTTATTTATTTGCTTTTGGTTTGGAGTGTGAGGAGGGGTGAAATGAAAGGGGACTCTAGATAACTGCCTAGATTAATTTCTGTCCTTCTGGACACACGTTGCCAAGGTTTTAAGGGGCCCAATAGCTTACTGTGGGTGCATGTTGTGTTGTTTTTGTTTAAAATAGGTCATGTGCCCAGGAATGCAGTCAAACTATAATGGTGACTAAGTGCCGGAAAGCTGAGAAGAGGGGCCCAAGTGGAAAAATGAGCCTGAGGCAAGAGAAGGAGGGCTGGGAAAATGGAAGTTCCAGTGGGCCCATAGGCCAGGTTAGAGATTCCTCCATGCATTAACAGCCATGTGAGAGGTTTATTTACAGGGCACCGACCATTTTTGGGGGGAGTACCCCCACTTTACATCAGTAACTGTGTTGGAGAAACAGCCAACCAGAGAGCATTTCAAGGATGGGAACCAGAGTCCTTATTGAATTCCCAGAGACAACTGCTCCAGTCTTCTCAGGCACAGGGCCCCACAGGCACAGGGCCCCACAGGGTAGAGAGAGAAGATTTTTTTTATTCCTGATTTTCCAGGCACTAAAACAAATAACATGAAAATGATTTGTCTAGCTAGGAAACCATCAGAGATGATGGGGGGAGGGGAGGGGAGGAGGAAGGGATGAAAAAGCCTGGTTGTTCAATTGCTCTTAACAAAGTGGTACCATTTCTCACCGAACGTCAACCAGAATGGTTTAGAACAGTTGAGATTTGGTTTGAAGGAGCAGAGCAGTGTTTTGATTGTGGCATTCATAGTGGGAGAGGAAGCCTGCACCTGCTATTTGGTAGCAGCTTCTAAAGTTCAACTTTGAAAGTTTCTTGCTGCTGTGATCAGGCCCTCAGGGCAGTGCTTTGACCCTTAGTAAAATGTCACCAAATTGCAGTTAAGTGACCAGGGAGATGAGAGAAGTGTTGTCCTTAACCCAATTCAGGAGATACACTGATTTATTCCCCCTTGTTTCCTTCCTGTGATGATCCAGAACATTCAGTTTTGATTTTATCCCCAAATTGTAAATGATCTTTTTTTTTTTTTAAATTTAAATTCTTGTTTAAAGTATTACATATGTCTCCTTTCTCCCCATTAACCTCTCCTGTGCTACTCCCACCCCCCAGCACATGCCCTCATTAAGACTTCAATTCTTTTGGTCCATCCTGTTGACTATGTTTCTTTAAAAATATAATTTTAAAGTATATTTTATTGATTTCAGAGAGGAAGGGAGAGGGAGAGAGAGAATCATTGATTGTCTGCCACCTGCATGCCCCCCACTAAGGATCTAACCCACAGTTCAGGCATGTGCCCTGACCGGAAACTGTGGCCTCCTAGTTCATAGATTGATGCTCAACTACTGAGCCACCATGGCCAGACCCTGCTGACTATCTTATACTGTCCTCAGTTCTCTGTCTAGTTGGTAGTATAGGTTGCTTGCTAGTAATGTGAAACCAAGGACCTTAGTCACCCAATGGACTGATTTAGTAATATTTTTTAGCTTTAGCATATGTACACTCAAATATTAATCATTCAGCTGGAAAGAGGACTAAGTTTGACATTAGAAGAACAGTTTCTAATAGTTATAATTGGATTAGTAGAAAAACAAATGATGATTGAATTAGCTTTTAGAGGTGGCACCATTAATGGATTTTAATCACTACATATATTTATATTCATGTAAAATTAACCTTTTTGTGGTGATTTATAACTTATACTGTTCTTTGTTTTAGTTGTCATCTTTAAAATACCACAATTGTGTGAAATACTACCCTTTCATAGGCAAAGAAATTGATAACTAGAGAAATTAGATAACCAGGTTTGGATCCCACTTTTTCTATCTGCATTCTACACTTTCCCCATAACTTCATTTAATCTACTATTTAAAGGTAAATTGAAAGACCTAACTCTCAATAATTATGTGATATATTTAAAAAAATTTCTCACTTCCTAAAGTACCATCTATTTACCTCTTCTGACCTGTTAGTTATGGAGCTATAATTTTATGTAGTGTCTCCTCACCTCTACTTTATATATTTGATTTAGTTTTATTTTTTATTATTAAATTATTATCTGTGTACATATTTTAACATTTCCCCCCCCCTCCCATACATACCCTCCCACCCCAGAGTTTTATGTCCATTGGTTGTACTTATATGCATGTATACAAGTCCTTCGGTTGATCTCTTATCTCCCCCAGAACTCCCTCCCCTCCCCGCTGTAATTTGACAGTCTGCTTGTTGTTTTACTGTCTCTATATCTATCTTTTGGTTCATCAGTTTATAATATTCTTTATTATCCATAAATGAGTGAGGTCATGTGGTGTTTCTCTTTCATTGATTGGCTTATTTCACTCAGCATGATGTTCTCCAATTCCATCCAGGTTGCTGCAAATGATGAGAATTCCTTCTTTTTTATGGCAGCATAGTATTCCATTGTGTAGATGTACCATAGTTTTTTTTATCCAAAAATTACTATTCCTTGCTATTTTCATTTCCAAAGTATTTTGCAGTCCTCACATTTATCATTTCTAGTGGCAATATGTTTTATTGTATTAGTATACCATTCTCTCCCACAGACAGCCATTTGGGCTATTTTTAGATTTTAACTCTTAATATACACTGAGAGGCCAGATTATGATCTCTGAACGCATAATAATCTGGCCACTCTGTAGACTGACCTCAGAGTTGAGATTTTAAAATAAGGTTTTCCATGTATAAGATCTGAATTGTGGGTAGCTAGAAAGAAGCAGAGGACTTGCTAGCTAGAGGCTAGGTCCACTATCTCCTGGTCCCTTGATATATCAAGATTTGCAAGCTTTCCCTTATATATAAGTACACTGAGTGGCCAAATTATTATGCGTTCAGAGATCATAATAATCCAGTCCGCGTTGGTGGTATAGTGGTGAGCATAGCTGCCTTCCAAAGATCATAATAATCCGGTCACTCAGTGTATAGCTGCAACTATAAATATCTTCATAAAATATATTTTTCTTTTGAATTATGTCTTTGTGCTGCAGTGCCCAAAGTGGGACTGCTGGGTCAGAAGCTGTCATTTAACAACTTTTCTTCATAGAATTCCTTTCTGAAAAGCTGTACCAGCATGCTGCTAGCAATGCATAGCCAAACCCAAATCCTTCTGTCAACCAAAGTTAGTGTGGTTTTTCCACTTAATAGATGTGATATGGTACTTTTAATAGTTGTTTTTAAATTTTATTTATTATTCATTTTTAATAATTGTTTTAATATGCATTTCTGTGAACTATTACTGTTGTGGATATTTCCCTAGTGTTTTATCATGTGAACACTGTGTGACTTATCTGCTTTTGGATATGGATGACAAAGTATTAGAGACAGTGTGTTACACAGTCCCTTAAAACTTTTAGGTATAGCCCAGCGGGGTGTAGCTCAGCGATTGAGCGTTGACCCAAGAACCAAGAGGACCCTGGTTCGATTCCCAGTCAGGGCATATGCCCAGGTTGCAGGCTCACTCCTCAGTAGGAGCTTGCAGGAGGCAGCCAATCAATGATTCTCTCTCATCATTGATATTTCTATCTCTCTCTCTCCCTTCCTCTCTGAAATCAATAAAAATATTAAAAAACAAAGAACAAAAAAAACTTTTAGGTATAGCCAAAACCGATTTGGCTCAGTGGATAGAGCGTCAGTCTGCGGACTGGAAGATCCCAGGTTCGATTCTGGTCAAGAGCATGGGCACATCCCTGGTGGAGGGTGTGCAGGAGGCAGCTGGTCTATGTTTCTCTCTCATTGATGTTTCTAGCTCTCTATTCCTCTCCCTTCCTCTATGTAAAAAATCAATAAAATATATATTTTTAAAAACCAAAAAACTTTTAAGCATAAAACTTTAACCTATGGTATTAACTATTAATTTTCCCTACTATGTTTTTTTCATTTTAATCTCTTTTTTCTTCTGTTCAGTATTTAAACTACTTTTAGTTAAACTGTTTTTCACTTTCATTTTGGGGGAGTTCATTGTGATATGAAATGATAATCTAAATCAGTTTTTGCTCTACTGATATGCAGTTTTTAAAAAAATATATATATTTTATTGATTTTTTACAGAGAGGAAGAGAGAGGGATAGAGTTAGAAACATCGATGAAAGAGAATAATCGATCAGCTGCCTCTTGCACACCCCCTACTGGGGATGTGCCCACAACCAAGGTACATGCCCTTGACCAGAATCGAACCGGGGACCTTTCAGTCCGCAAACCGACGCTCTATCCACTGAGCCAAACCGGTTTTGGCCCGATATGCAGTTTTATAAACAGATTTTATGTTTAGGTCTGTGATCTATTTTGAATTAATCTTTCCTTATGGTGTGAGGTAGGGGTCAGGGTTCATTTTTCCCTCCGTATGGATAGCCTGTGCTTCCAGCACTATTTGTCATCCTTTCTCTATTAAATTGCTTTAGCATCACTATAGACACTTTAAAGGAAAAGCTGTTCTCCTTGGATTTCTTAGTTATCCTAGCATGGAGAGAGAAGAGTTATTCCTTTCTTGTCTCCTAGCCCCTTCACTTATATCCATCTATATTCTGGATATTCCTGCGTCCTGACTTGTAAGCCCATGGAATTTTCTCTGGTTGGCAATGAGTTGTAGTGACTGAATTATCTGTTTTGTCTGCACACAGGATGGCCAGTATACCAGTAAAAGAACGAGTGAAGGTGTCTCAAAACTGGAGGTTGGGGCGCTGCCGAGAGGGAATTCTGTTGAAGTGGAGATGCAGGTAAGTAGCCTTTTGACTATTAAAGCCACCTGGGACAGAAAAGCATACTGGGAAGTGAAAAATCAGGTCCTGGCTGGAGTTTAGTAGCCTTTCTTGGGTAGGTGGTCCTGGTGATCCTTTAAATATCAGAGGGACAATTTTTTCACATCAAAAGGATTACAGAAATGGTATTTTAACAAATTCTGTATTGTTATGATTATAAAAGCAATAAATGTTTATTGTGGAAATTTGAAAAAAAATAGAAAAGTTTAAAGAAGAAAATAAAACTTATAATCCTACCACTCAGAGATAACCACTGTTAATGTATCTCATCAAAAGAAATAAATGAAGCCAATATTTCAACGCATCTTGTTTTACAATGATTTTTTTTTAAAATCTTCTATTCTAGGAAGTTACACTTTTACTCCTGGCTTCTTATAGTTCTTTCCCCTACTTTATTAAAAAGCAAAATAGAATCTAAAGGCTTGTATATATATGTGACAGGAGGCAGAGCTCAGAAAAAGTGCTAGGAGATTTAAATAATGGCCTTGAAACTACCAATGCCACAGATTTTATGCTTTATCATAATAACTTTTATATAACAATTTTTCAAAATTATTACATGACTTTCTACCAAAAAAAGGTGCTCTTTGTTGATTGTTGGAATGAATAGGGAATATCATGATTGCTCATCTATACCTGTACTGATAGATATGTCAGGCTTTTTCTTTTCTTTTTTTTTAATAAGTTTTTATTGTTCATATTATTACAAATATTCCTTCCCCCCCCCCCACCATTGCTCTCCTCCACCAGGTTCCCACCCCACCCTCTGCCCTTTCCCCACTCCCCATTGTCCTCATCCATAGGTGCACAGTTTATGTTCATCTCTTCCCACATCCCCTTCTCCCCTTTTCCCCAAGAATCGTCAGTTCACTCCCCTTCCATACCTCTGATTTTATTATATTCAACAGTTAATATTGTTCATCAGATTTTTTTTTAATTTCCTTGGTTTTTAGATTCACTTGTTGATAGTTACGTATTTGTTGTTCATAATTTTTATCTTTATTTACTTTCTCTTCTGAAAGAACCCCCTTCAGCAATTCATATAATTCTGGTTTGGTGGTGGTGAACTCCTTTAGCCTTTTTTTATTAGTGAAGCTCTTTATTTGACCTTCGATTCTGAGTGATAGCTTTGCTGGATAGATTATCTTTGGCTGTAGGTTCTTACTATTCATCACCTTGAACATTTCTTGCCATTCCCGTCTGGCCTGCATGGTTTCTGTTGAGAAGTCAGCTGATAATCGTATAGGTGCTCCTTTATAGGTAACTACCTTCTTTGTTCTTGCTGCTTTTAATATTCTCTCTTTGTCTTTTGCTCTTGGAATTTTAATTATTATTTGTCTTTGTGTGGTCCTCTTTGGATTCCTTTTGTTTGGAGTTCTGTGCGCTTCCTGGACTTGTAAGTCTAATTCTTTCCCCAGGTGGGGGAAGTTTTCTGTCACTATTTCTTTCAGTATGTTTTCGATATTTTGCTCTCTCTCATCTTCTGGGACCCCCATAATTCTGATGTTGGTTCGCTTGAAGTTGTCCCAGAGGTTTCTTACATTATCTTCAATTTTCTGGATTCTCTTGCCTTCTAGCTTCTGTGGAGGAGTGTCTTCTGGTTCTTTATGTTACAAATCTTTGACTTGATTCTTGCGATCTTCCATTCTGTTTTTAGGACTCTGTATAATATTTTTTATTTCAGACAATGTATTCTTTATTTCTTGTTGATCCCTTATCATTTCTTGTTGATCCCTTATCATTTCTTGTTGACTCCTTATTAATTCTAGTTGATCTCTTTTCATATCCTCATAGGTCTTATCCATCTTTTCTAGGAAATTCTTGAAAAACCTTATAAGCATAGATTTGAACTCTGTATCCAGTCGCTTTTTGTCCTCCATTTCTTTCGTTTGTGATCTATTTCGTTGTTGCATTTTGCAGTTACAGATGGGACGGAATTTTAGGGTGGAGCCTACAGCCTTGGCTTCCGTCAGCCCCGCCCTTTGTGGCTCCTGGGTCTCAGGGTCCTTCAGTACTCGCTGCAAAGCGCCTCAGAGAAAGGTGCCCTCGATTTTCGCCTGCTGCCAAACAGTCTATGCTCTCCCCCAATGAGCCCGGTATTGGGGTTCAGTTCAGTTGGAAGTGGAGTTGGATGTGGCGTTCAGAGCAGACTGGAGCCCCTGTCTCCTTCCCGCCAGGGCAATCCCGCGGCACAACCGACCGTCCCTTCTCTGCGCACAATGTGGGCGCCTCCGGGACCTCCTTTCGCTGCTCCCCCAGGATTCCGCCTTACAGCCCAGCTCCCTCTGTGTGAGCCTGGGTCCCCGGGGTCTGGCCTAGGCCTGAGGTTCAGAGCAGTCAGAACTGGGGCCCAGCACAGTCTGAGTTATATCTCCTTCCCGCTAGGGAACGCCAGCCAGGCACTCGCCTCCCTCCTCTCCGGCTCCGTCCTCTCTGCGCGCTGCGTGTCTCCGTACCTCAGGCTTTTCCAGCTCCTCCGCGCTTCCTTCTGGTTTTCTCCTTGCTTCTTGTTGTAGAATTTCCAGTCAGTCGACTTTCCTGTAGTTCTGGGTAATGTCCATTTTATATTTTAGTTGTATTTTATTGAAATTGTTGTGTGCGGCTGCGGCTAGGTGTTTACCTGGGCACAGCCATCTTGGATCTTATGTCAGGCTTTTTCATCTGATGACCCTTTCTCTCTTGTGTCCAGTTTCTGCTGGTTTTATTGACATTGGCTACTGTGAATTAATGTGATAGTGGTGATGGTAAAGAAACTACAGGGGAGAAATGTGGATTTTTATGATGAAGGACTTTACCCGTTGCTTCCCACTTTTGTCTTTTAATATCATAAAGTAGAGTTTGTTTCTCTATCAAGGTTTTGTCCCTGGCATTTTTATTTTTATTATTATTTTTGGCTGGCTTAAAGCAGTTTGGCAAATAAACACACAAAACAGTTACCAGGCTGCCCTGGGATTCTCCACTGTTCACCTGGCATGAACCTGGTTTCTTGTCCTAGGCAATGGCTGTTTACCAGATGGCTCTTAACTTGAATTTCAAACCCCTCTGTTTGCTGCCCACTTGAGTGTGCCACACACTCATGCAAGGGGATGCTGAAGAGGAATGTGCATAACGAGTGAGAATGCAGGCATCTATACACACTCTACACATGTTCCATATAATATATGCACCCACTTGTAAAAACCTCACAAGCAGAAACTCAGTTATTACAAAGTCTAAGCTGCATTTAATGGCCCGTCAAGTCAATTTGCAGAACTTTTCCACATTCCCATGACGCCTGTATTAAGGAGTCTGGGGAAGAAACCCAGCCCAGTTTGCTCAGACAGGCTTGGCAGAGAGAGATGGTGTCTGTAAATGGGGATGAATCAGCTGTCCCTATGCTTTGCTTGGGGCCTGGTGGCTCCAGAATCCCTAGGTAGAGTGGGGCAGGCTACTGGGATGTCTATCTTGGGAAAGGGGCTTAGGCCCCACAGAGAGCTGGTGTCTGGCAGAGCCTCTTTCTTCTTAAATCTCACTCTGTGCCATGGGACTCGTCTCTGGTTCTACCTTTGATCTTTTTTTTTAAAATTGTTTAAAATTTTATATATGTCTCCTTTTCCTCCTCTACCTTTCTTCTTGCCAGATTGTAGAGGGAATCTTTAACTCTGTGGATTTATCAGCTGCCTATGAGAGCTATTTCTCCGTAGCCCCTGTAGTAAACTGCCCTAGGGACTGTGTTTTTCCATTGCTACTCTTACACTGGGCTCTCTCATACATTTAGAAATGTAGATGTCCCCTGTGAAGATCTAGGTATCTAATCAGTACATTATTCGCATCCTTTCCTAGATAACTTTATTCCTTTCACTTATGCTAGTAAATGACATGGGAAGGGAGCTTTCCTGGGATCACTCTTCTCCTTTCTCTTATCATACCCTAACCAGTCTACTGGGAAAGAGACATGTATGGGAATCTTGGAACCTTGAAACTTAGCAAATCATAGGGGATACAAAATGAAAAAGTTTACTTAGTTAGTGTGGAAGGCTTTTGTCCCTCCCCACCCCTCAATCATTGCATTTTCTAAGCTCTGCCTACCCAGTAATTTAAGTTGTAAGCATTCTCCAACTAAAAGTGATATTTAATTGGTCCTTTAATTCTCACCCTCTTAGATAATCTGAAGATGATTAGGTCAACACAAAATTCATTCACTCTAGTTTTCTGAAGGTACCCTAAGGTCATTTTGAAGAAGGGGAGAGCAAGGGATAGACTTAGCCTTGCTGGTCATCCTTGCTAAGTTGGGGATCAGTCAGCCTCTCCAAAGCTTGGAGTTAGGTTTTCATTCTGTATCTTGATGATCCTTAAATTCTGTTTTTTCATCTCTCTAGTCAGATGCCCTGGATGCAGCTAGAGGGTGATTCTCTGTACATATCCCAGGCTAATTTCATCCTGGCCTATAAGTTCCGCCCAGATGGTGCCAGCTTGAACCGTCGGCCCCTGGGAGTCTTTGCTGGGCATGATGAGGACGTTTGCCACTTTGTGTTGGCCAACTCACATATTATCAGTGCAGGAGGGTAAGTGCTACAGGTTTCTTCTTCCAGCCTCTTAGGATTTTTCAGGGACCATCTGCCTGTCTCTGACTTTTCTGACTCAGCTCCAAAGGGATGAGGAGAAGTCTAGAAGGAGTAGTTCAAAGCACAGAGATTTACCAATGGCCCTTAATAGTCTTAGCTGGGGAAGGAAAACAGGAAGAGCCTTTAATGGAAAGCGAAGCTGGTCTTGATACTCTCGAGGGGGAAATTTGTTTTGTCTCTTAGCTCTGTTCAGCCCCAAGTGTACTGAAAAAGGTATCTGGGAGCTCGGAGTGACCTTATTGGATTGAATTGCCTAGAGCTTAGCAAATTTGGATGTCATTGGAGTGTTGGGCTGTTTCTATAGTCTTGTTCTTTTCTTACAGAGAGAATAATTGGTTGTTGGGGTGGGCTCCCTTTTTCTCTCCTAGAGATGGAAAGATTGGTGTTCATAAGATTCATAGCACCTTCACCGTCAAGTACGCAGCTCATGAGCAGGAGGTGAACTGTGTGGATTGCAAAGGGGGCATCATTGTGAGTGGCTCCAGGGACAGAACGGCCAAGGTGAGATGGTCACTCCCTTATACTGTTATTCCCTCTGTCTATAGGGAGTGGGTGGGAGAGGGTGGATAGGGCCTGAGTCTCAGGATTGGCTGAGAGCTTTGGGTGGGGGCGGGGGAAACAACACAATAAAGGACTCACTTATGTGCCTCTGGCATGCAGCTTGCCATGCCAGGTTGTATCTTTGCCAGCTGGCCTGGGAAAAGAGTGGACAGTGGCTGGGAAACTTGCCACTCACTTGAAATGTGGCGTGAACTCAAAAACAGAGGGCCTGGCCAGCTTTTCCTCTCTGAGCTGAGTTTCCTCAAGTTTGTGGGTTAAGTTCTGACCCCAATATTTTATTTAAAAATCTCCTTCTTTTTACTTGCTCTCTGTTTTGGGAGGTTAATTTTTTACCACCTTGTTTATAAGCAATCAGGCTGATAATTAAAATGTGTTTTTGCTGCTCCTCTGGAGAGGGATGAGGTCAGTAAGCAGCAGAAAGATGACAAGAGAAGGGTGTTATTTGTTGCGTCATTGCCAAAATGCCTGGTCTACAGTCAGACATCTGCCAAGTCCCAACAGAATGAGACTGATAAGTAGTGTGCCCTCTGCTTTGTGGACTTAGCTCATCCACATTTGGGTCAAATAGGCTCCCACCCATGAGATAGAGAACTTTCTGCATTTCTGTGTCCAGCAGCCCTAGGCAAGGCCCACACATGCCTGGTTCTTTGGGGCTGCCATAGGAACTTTACTGACAGTTCAGTTGATGGTGCAGGAGGCCTGATAGTATCTTGCTTGTCTATTTCCCAGCATCTAGAGACTTTGTAGTGCTAACAGGAACAAAATGCTTGTCTATGTCAGCAAATGGGTCTCCTAGGCATAAAGGGAGAGGACTCAAGAGAGGGAAATTTTAGTCTTTACTCACCAACTTTTCTGTCTCTGAGTATCCTGTGGTGACTGACTACTCCTTCATGGAAAAATGTCAGTAATTTATATAAAAAGAAGAGCTAAATATGTTATTTTCTATTTGTGGAAGTTTCTCCTTCCTTTGCTGTTTTCTCCTCACACTTTGTATTCTGTCAAAGACATGTGCATCAGCACAGGGAGCCTGAAAAATCTAGAAAATTTTGTAAACCAACATGGAAACAGAATTTCCTATTACCTGCTTCCCACTCCTCTGTACTTCACATTTCTGATTGGTCACTGTCTTTGTGCCATTCATTGAAAAGAGATGGCCTTAAGTGGCTGTACTGCTTAGAAGTCAATTTGCATGAAAACCTTTTGTGGTACCTGTGACCTAGATCATCCCATCTCATTGTTGAATCTTCTTGTCATAGCTTTAAGCTTCCCCTGGTTCTTATTTTTCAGTGACACCTTTTCTATCCTATTTGTTCTGATATCCTGAGCAGTATAAAACTAGGCTTTATCACCATAGCAATTCGAGGATTGCATACTGTAAGAAATTATATCAATTTTATCTGAGATATTGGGTTAGTTTCACCTTTTAAGTACCAACTCAGCCCTATTTAGTGACTTAGTTTTTTAAAAAATATTGAAATAGGTAACATTGAATTCTAAAATTGTCGCTGCAGTATATCCTCTTTCTTTTTAAAAAAATTATTTTATTGATTTTTTACAGAGGAAGAGGAAGAGAGAGGGATAGAGAGTTAGAAACGTCGATGAGAGAGAATGATCGATCAGCTGCCTCCTGCACACCCCCCACTGGAGATGTGCCCGCAACCAAGGTACATGCCCTTGACTGGAATCAAACCTGGGACCCTTCCATCCACAGGCCCACTGAGCCAAACTGGTTTCGGCTATCCTCTTTCTTTTGAGAAATTCTTTTAGGTCAGTGTCAAGAGTTCTCCCTCCTGGTTTTTCAACTTCAGAAAGCTAGTCAGCTCTTTGGGGTTCCCTAATGATCTCCAGGCTAGCTCATCTTTTCTGGCTCTCTGGGTGCTGCTTCTGTTTCTTCCTTTCTGATACTGTCTTTGCATTTCACCACCTTTGTCTTCCTGACCCATTTCTTTCTTTCATTATTACAATTTTATTTTATTTTATTGATTTCAGATAGGAAGGGAGAGGGAGAGAGAGACAGAAACATCAGAGATGAGAGCGAGTCATTGATCAGCTAACTCCTGTACATCCCTGCAACCTGGGCATGTGCCCTGACCTGGAATCAAACCATAACCTGGTTCATAGGTCAGCATTCAGCCATTGAACCACACTGGCTGGGCTTCCTAACCCATTTTGATATTACCCACAGTTGTTCTTTTATAACTGACTCTCCATTTTCTTTTGGTGGCACTTGCAATTCTACAGCTGCTTCTTCAAATTTCTGATACACCTAAACCTACATAAGAACTATCATGTTTGCATGTAAACATCTATAGCCTGTTTTGAGGGAGTTCCCTAAATATGTACTGTGTCTTAGGATAGAGGATTATTTTATTGGGGTGAGGGAAACAAAAACATTTTCTTTGGAAGACTGCTGAGCAAAGAACTGCCCAGAAAGCCCTCTTCCTTCCCCTCCCAACTCTAGTTTCTAACTTCCTGTGACTTAGCTTGTCTTGCTTCTCTGGACTTTAGTGGGCTGGTCTCATCTTCAGATGTGACAGGATGGTAGCTTATGTTCTTGGTGGGCCTGGGCCAGTACTGACCATCCCTTCATTCCTGCCTTTTTCTCTATTTCATTCATTCTGCTTTATGTCTATAAAAGACATCAGGGCTCTTCAAAGAGGAGGAAGATATAATCTCTCTCAAGGGGAACTGAGGCATGTGTGCACTATGAAGGTGATCAGAAGTGGCTAAAGGCTGAAGTGTAAGGCTCTAGGGAAAGGGCCAGAAGTTCAGAGAGTGGAGGGATCACAGCTGGATTGGGAGGGGAGACTTTATGAAGAGGGAACATTTGAACTTGTTTTTTTCTCTTAGTTATTTTTCAATGCATGGGTTTGCTTATTTGATTTGTAACAGTACAGGATGTAATCAGGCACTGTACTAAGCACTGTATATTTATTTATTTTTTCATTTTATCTTTTAAGGTAATTTTCTGCTACATAATTATTCTTATAACTAGATGCCCAGTGCACAAATTCTTGTGTGGTGGGTCCGGTTGGCCTGATCCCAAACAGGGTGGATCGGGGCCAGGCCTGTTGGGAGGAGGAGATGGCAGGAGGTTGACTGGCCAGCCCTCCCCAGTCGACTGATCTGGGCCGAGCCAGCTGGGGGGAAGAGGCTGCAGGCGATTGGCTGGTGGGCCCCACCCCTGATTGGGGTAGGGGGGCCTATTGGAGGTGGGTCTGGCCATGGGGAGGGACTGTGGGCAGTGGGCTGGCTGGCCCCACCCCTAAATGGGGTTGGGGGGCTGATTTGTGGTCAGCAGCTGGGGGAGGGGCCGTGGGAGGTTGGCCGGCCAGCCCCACTCCTGATTGGTGTGAGAGGGCCAATTGGGGGTGAGGCTGGCTGGGGAGGGGCTGGCTATGGGTGGTGGGCGACCCTGCTCCCTATTGGAGTGGGGGGCGATCAGGGGTAGTGTTGGTCAGGGGGAGGGACCGAGGAAGGTTGGCCATTTTGCTGGTCATAGTGGATGTCATAGCAACCAGTCATTTTGGTCATTATGGCATTCTGGGTGCTGGCTTTTTATATATATAGATATATTTTAGATACCCAATGTACATTGCTATATTTAGTTTATTTTATAAGGTTTTTCATTATTATTATAAATTATTTGTTTGTGTTGTCTTTAATGGCTTCACAATGGATTTACCATAATTTAGTCACTGTTTTTCATAGTGGATATTTGTATCTAGTTGTTTTCATATAGTATTAAGAGTCGCTGTTATTGATGCCTAATACCTATCAAATACTGTGCTACTGTGCAGGATAATTTATACATATCTTCCCATTTCCACACTGCAACCCTGAAAGTTAGGTATTATTTCTATTTTACACATGAGGGAACTGAGGCTAAGAAGTTATGAAACATCTGTAAGATCAGAGATGATAAGTAATAACTAGGGTTCAACCCAGATTTGTCTGATTCCAAAGCTCATATATATGCTTTCTGCTATCTCATGCTGCGGGGAATAGTTTTATCATTTAGGTTTTTCTTCAGTTTGGGATTATTTTTTAAGATAGGGTCTCAGTAATAGAATTACTGAGCCAAAGTTTTAAGAGTCTTGATATATACAGCTAACTGCTTTTTAAAAGGACTGTATCAAGATCTACTCCCACCGAGTTCTGTCTTCTCCAGGGGATGGGTCTCTTTTGAATTTGGCCACTGAGGATGAAGATGTGACCAGCATACTCAGGCTTCTGGTGGATGGTGTGTTGCTGGAGCTGATCAGGAGGGCCACGTTCCCAAGATGATACTCAGAATTGGCAGCATACTTCCCAAGCCACTTCTGGAGACTAGAAACCTTGTTCTGTGGTTTGCACAGTCTAGGAATCCACCACCAGCCTGTTCCCTGGAGGGCACTAGTGAATTCAGGCCTAGGCCGTTCCCATAGATTTTGTAATCAGAGCCATTGGTGTCTTCCCACCATCCATGTAAAAACATACCTTTTGGGGGGTTTACATCAGGGAAAAGGAAAACCTCTCTTCCAATCTGGACTATCTAAGAGCGGACATTAGAAGTTCATCTAATTACTACCAAAGTGTCCTGACTACAGATCCAAAAGAGTAAGCTGGAGTCATGGCATTCCAAGAAATTTGTGGTATTTACCTTTAATTTCTGCCCTTTTTCATTCAGGATCTTCTTGTTTTATTTTATTTTCCCTAATTTGAGAAAATTGGTCATACCCTCTTGCCTCCATCATGCACACAAAATCTAAAACACTTTCTCCTTTTATAAGGAAGAGATATCATGTGACCCTAAGGAGGCAGGACCACCCCCACTCCATTACCTACCCCTTAAACCCAAGGAATGTTTCCTGGAAGTTCTTCCATCTAAGGCCCTGACTGACTTGTGTGTTCCCCTTATAGCTCTGCAGGGACCTTGAGAGGTCATTGATCCATCTGGCTGCCTCAGGATGCCTCCTTGGCTGCTGTCTGGGGACAGCTCTGTATATTTGAGGTTTCCTTTCTGTTTAGTTAGAGGCTTATTTCCCTGTGTGTGTCATCTGGGATAGGGTGAGGTAGGGGGACCTTGTGCTTAATGGGAGATTTCTAAATGCACTGACTGCTGAGAGGGCTCTGTGAGTGTTGATTAGAGTTAAGCCCAGAGTGGCTGCTAATGTACATTCCTGACTGATAGGGACCAGATAATGTGCTCCAAGCAATATTTTTAACCTGTAGGAGATATGGAAGCTTAAAAGAGGTAAGCTTTTCTGCTACTTTTGGTGACACTAGGTGCTAAATTCCGTGCTGACATGAATAGCATTGAATCCTGGGCATTATCAACAAACAAACAACACACCACCTTTCTACTTTGAAGTCTCTCTTTTTCCATTCTTTCCTTCCCTTGCATCTTTCTTTTTACTCCTTTTTCTAGTTCTACTCTAGTTCTATCTCTATCCTCCCATACTGTGCCTTGATCTTTCTCCCTCCTCTTACCTCTCCAAAGTAAAATCTTGGTGAGAGATAGGAGAAAGGAAAATCCACAAACATGGGGAAGGTGCTAAGAGAAGCAATCCCGTCTACTCACTTCTCTCGGTCAAGTCTCAGCTGAGGAATGTGGAACTTCTGATTCCCTGGTATAAATTGGCTGGGAAGTAAGAGCTGTATTGGGTGGAAGTAAAAGAGGTTGGTTAGGACTGGAAGCCAGGGTCTGTTTGGGTGGTAGGCTACTCAGATGCCAGAGAGGGACCTCTGCTGATACCCTGTGCTCTGTGTATACAGGACATAAAGGATTCTCTATTCCCACCTCCCTCACCCCTGCCCAGAAACAGCCACCCCACCCCAATTCCAGGCAATGCCAACGAGAGCATCTTCTCTCCTGTTTTCAGGTATGGTCTTTGGCCTCAGGCCGGCTTGGGCAGTGCTTACACACCATCCAGACTGAAGATCGAGTCTGGTCCATTGCTATCAGCCCATTACTCAGGTAAGGGAGACATTTTTGGATATGCCCCATATAATAATGCTTTTATTTTAGAAAATCAGTTGGGCTAGAAAATCCTCTACCTGTATATTCTAGGTTGCTTTGTTTGCGCTGATCTCCTGGAGATTTTGGAAATCCTCCAGAGACTTGAGGTCTGAAGGTTACTTCATATAAGCATTGGGTTGAGAGAACCTTCTAGGAACCAACTTCCTAAACATCTAGCGCAGCAATATGAAGGAAGAGATACTAAGTTAGAATATAACTGAGTCCAGCTGTACAGCTGTACAGCCATGTCTCTTCTGGAAGAAGTTGTTACCTCAGCACCTCTAGGTGACAGCACCAGCAAAACTGCTCTCATAACTCAAATCAGTGGTTTGCTCCCCTTGGGAAATGTCTTTCGGAGAATTCCTTAGAGAATTGGTCAGCAAACTGTGGTCATTAGTCAACAGTCAAATATCAACAGTACAACTATTTAAATTTCTTTTGAGAGCCTAAATTTTTAAACTTAAACTTCTTCTAACGCCACTTCTTCAAAATAGGCTCACCCAGGCTGTGGTATTTTGTGGAAGAACCACACTCGGGGGGCCAAAGAGCCGCATGTGGCTCACGAGCTGCCGTTTGCTGACCACGGCCTTTAAAGCATTGAGTCATTAGGAGAGGCTTAGGGCCTGTATGCCTTTGGGTCCTCATCCAAAGACGTGTACGTGCAGTAGATGCATTGATCATTGTAGCAGAAGTGCCAGGTTTTTTTGTGGTGGCTTTAGCCTACCTTTGGCCTGACTGGTATTTCTCTAGCTTTATCTGTGAATGAGTGAGCGTGCATCCTAACTGTGCTTTCTGTCTAGGCTTTCTTGGACTAACGTAGAGCCTCTCTCCTCCTCAGCAGGGTGCATCGATGCCCTCTCCTGCACCTGCTCTGTCACAGTGCTTACTTAGGGTCTTCCCCATTTCCTTTACCCCTCACGCCCCATCTAGATGGTCAGTAGGAAAGCTGTAGGGCTGCCAACCTCCAACACTGGGTTTGAGTCAGTCATTTGTTTTATGAGAGAGTCAGTTCCCCCCTTCCCTTTTTCTCTTCACCCAATGGAGCTTGATCCCTCCGCCTGCCCCTTCCACAACTCCCTTTCAAATTTTTTTCTTCCTAAAGAATTAGAGCCGATTAGCCACGTCATTAATTCTTCAATTTGACGGCTGATATAGCAGGACCTGAAACACATTGCTGACCTCAGAGAATGGAGACCCCATTCCTTAGCATATTGACGATGGGAGAAGTTAATTAAAATTCCACAGAGCGGAGGTGTCGGCTAACCTATAAACCTGTCGCTGTTCAGAACAAATCATTCTAGTGATCCTAGGAAAGAGGGAAAGAAAGACCAGCCGGGAGAGGCCTAAGTGTGTGGGAGTGGAGGGTGGAAAATGGAGCCATTGAGCTTTGTCCCCTCCTCAGTTTCTTCCTAATGCTGCCCCTTCTTAAGCCAGTTAGCCAGGCTTTGGGGTCTGGGGGCTGGATATATGTAAGGATTGAAGGAGGGTGAGACAGCCTGTGGGGGGTGACAGGTGGGCTGGTGACTTTGTCTTGGTGGTTACCTGTGGACTTTTGCTGGCTTCAGGAGACTAGGGTGGGGTCCGTGGTAGAGGGACATTCTTCAGGGCTGGAGATGGTCCACGTGTTTCCTGCATGTGTGTTTAGGCCAAAGAACACAAACAGGCTCTCCCAGCATCCCCACACATGTCCCTCTACTCTACCTACCTCTTCTGGAGTGTGTTAGAATAAAACATGGCAACTGTTGAAGGTGGTGCCAATAAAAGGTTGAGGTCTGCCCTAACCGGTTTGGCTCAGTGGATAGAGCATCAGCCTGCAGATTTAAGTGTCTTGGGTTCAATTCTGGTCAAGGACATGTACCTTGGTTGCAGGCTCCTACCAAGCCTGGGCCCTAGTTAGGGCACATACGGGAGGCAACCAGTCGATGTGTTTCTCTTGCATGGATGTTTTTATCTGTCTTTCCCTCTCTATAAAATCAATGGAAAAATATCCTCGAGTGAGGATTTAAAAAAAAAAGGTTGAGGACAGATGTCTACCTTTACCATTGAGTAGCAATTTAGATTATCATGAACTGAGTTTGGTTTTTTTTGGCTACAACTTGGAGGAAGGACATAGTTTTCTATTACTAGTACTGCTTATGATGGCTACTACTACTAGCAGTTAACATCTATTAGTCATAGCTCTATGCCAGACCCTCTGCTACGTCCTTGATGTACCTCATCTTTGGTGAAAACCTGGGTCTTATGTTTTCTTCACATTCTCTTTTAAAGTCGTCTTGTCCTCTTAGCGTACTTTCTTGGCTCTGGATGAATCTTTCACTCACTGTTTGCTGGCTGTTCAATTCCTGACCCATGGTTATTTGAGATGACCTTTTCCCTAACTTCACAGATGGTATCTTGGGCTCTTTAAAAATAGTTTGCTTTTGGGATTACTCTAAGTGATCAGGGCATATGCTGGTGTTATCTCTGTTCCTTTTTCTCTTACCTGAAAATAAACTGGCCTTTTCATCTTTATTAGAACAATTTATTTTCTCTATGTCCGTGAATTGGAACCTTACAGTAAACTCACCCATTTATCCAAATCTGGGAGCCTCTGCCTCCCAGCCTCAGGGTTGTTCTGGAAGACTGAAATTCTGTTTTGCCAACAGCCAACAGAGTAGCTTCAGTAAGTCATTCCCTTCTCTGAGCCTCAGTTTCCTCACCTACGGTAATAAATGTAAATACTGCTTCATCTATAGACCTTTCTCGAGTATTGTGAAGAAGACCTGAGATGATGAATAAGGAAAGCTGAAAGGACTACAATATGATGTCAGCCAGAATCTCCTCTCTGGGATAGCTTGTTTAGTGACTTTACCTGCTGTCGTGGCTCCACTCTTGCCGGAGCTTTGGCTGGCTCTCGTGCCTCTTTTGCAGTCTTCTTGAATTGGGGATTCAGCAGGAATTTCTCTTTCCTCTCCCTTTCTTCACAGTGTTCCTGCCCTTGATGGCTGCCTTCCGTTCCCCTCCCTGCTACTTTCCCTATTGAATGTGGTCATCAGAGTCACTAATGTGATGAGTCCCTGAACCCCTCATGAAGAGCATGGATGGGTGGGGGGGTAAGCTGTCTGCTAGGGCAGTGACTCCTGGTTTACCTGAAAATTTCTTGCTTCCCTCATAGCTTCCTCATAGTTAGAAGGAACCTGGACAGTTAGAAGATCTGGCACATCTCTTTTCTTAATTAATATCTTTCTTCTATTTAAAATATTATTTCAGAGCTATTTATCATATTTATCTGATGCTGGGCTTTTGTGTCTTTTTTTCTGTGTGTGCTTAGATACTTGTAGTATGAAATATGAAATCTCAAGCCCTAGGTTTATTTTGAGGTGCTCATGACTGGAAGAAAGCAGGTATTCTTTCATGTGTCCAAATATCACCTATCCTTCCTTCCATGACCCTGAGTTCTCCATTTATAAACAGCAATGGGAGATTATATTTAACACCAATCATGTGCTTAGAGTGTGTTAGGTACTCACAAAACATAGGAGTAAAACTTCTATCAGCAGGGTGGCAGACAAGGACTTTTGCTCTAGCCTCTTATCCATCTTCTTGCCTTGTTAGTAATAATCCTGTTTTTAAGATTCATTACTTATAGGTGAAGCCCTCCTCTTGTAGAGGAGGCCCAGCCTGCAGCTGTGAATGAGTGAGGGAAGAATGGGTTGCGATGGAGTAGAAGTGAGAGGCTGGAGGCATGTCTGGGTGTATTGTGGGGCTGAGCACATTCAGTCGAGCTGGTCTCAGACATACACCCTCATGAGGTCACAGTGGATTCTGAGCACTTGTCCATGAGTAACACGTTTTTAAAATGTGAACTATGTTTTGTTGCCATTTAAAATTATTTCCAGCTGAATAAAATTAGTAAATACTCAAGAGTTAGGAAATGCAGAACTATTAAAGACTTAATTTCATTACCTTTTACTTTCCATCTTTCCCTTTCTTACTCCCTTTCCTCCTTACTTTCTGTGTATTGACTGAGCACTTGCTGTGAGGCAGCTCCCCCAAAGGTCCTGTCAGTGGTGGGGACAAGATGGGTACATAACTATGATGGTTGCCAGATGATACTAAGAGCCTAAAACTAGGATGTCTTTGATTGAGGGGTAAGAGGGGTACCGTTCCTGGCTGAGGGAGAAATGGAACCTTAGGGAAACTTGATATTGGGCACACGTGGGATGGGGCAGAAGAGGCAGCAGTTGGTGTTCAGGTCTCTAGCCTGTTGCCGTGTCCTGTGGGCTAAGGGAGGACCACAGACATGCTTTTACCACTGGCATCTTGGATAGTAGCTGAGGCCCTTGAAGGACTTTGTGGGGACTGGGGAAAATTCTCTGTGAGATGGGAAGGAATGGTGGAAGGCAGTGTGTCATCGAGGTCTGGGCTTACTCAGGTAGCTGTAAATGCTTGCCCCAGTCCAAGAGTATGCTCCTGGATTTTCAGTTTGCAGGACTCCTTCCAAGCCAGCCATTGGGGGCCCTGGTGATAAGATGGATCTGTAAGCCTACCTCCTCTGGTTGCCTGAAAGGGGAAGAGAGAAGAGCCCCCAGACACCATATTTATTACCTTTCAAGAAAAAGGAGGTGCTCAACAGAATCCTTTCCCCGTCTCTGAACAACACTTGCTATCTTGCGAGAGTGTGGTCAGGAAGGCTTCCCAGGACACTTGGGTTTTAATCCCTTCTCTCTTGTTTCTGTCATTTGGGAAATATATGAGTGGTATAGGTGTAGAAACTTGACTTCGCTATGTTATTAAATATACAATATAATTTTGTGTTACTTTGCTCACTGTGGTGGCCTGTTTGTTTTCTGGGGGATTAGTCCAAGTCTGCATGAAATGTACCGATTCAAATTCGTAAAGTGAGTTGCAGCCTCTGGGGGGTTTTGATGGAGCAGCTGCCCCTTCTTGCTTCATTTTTCCCAGAGGTGAGGGAGTCT